TGAATGTATCTGATTAATTCACTAACAATGTTACGATAATGAACAGAAAAGGAGGAGAGTCTTCTCTGCGATGTTATAATTGACAGAAGAAAGGAAAACAGAATTTCTTTTAATTTTGAAATTGAATTCAACGTTATACTGGTGAGTGTTGGTGTGAAATTTTACTGTTAAACTGGCTGAATGAGCACATTGTTTTCTTCTTCTTTTTTCCGAGAATGTTTGGGGAAATAGAATTTTTTTTTTAGTAATCGATAGAATGCCGATAAAGCAAATACTGAGTGGTAAAAAAAGCATTTTTACAGTCGAATATATAATTCGCTATATTCAATCTTCCCTTTACTTCAAGATATAGTGGTACAAAAACAATGCGTATAATCAGCATTATATGGCTGACAAATAAACTAAAATTAATTTTGGTCATTAAAAAGCTGAATTAATAGATTTACAAGATGCTTCTTCTTTCACTTGCTTTGTTAAAAGAATCAGTTTTTCAAAGCAAATATGGTGGAATTTTATAGAGTAGTACAGTCGTTTAATAGCTGAATGAATACTACAATGTATCAATGCCAAAAATAAAAGAAAAAAAACTATCCATTACGTGGCACAAAAGTATATTCCACTTGGTTTAAGAGGGGTAGAACTATGAGCTTTTCACTGATTCGTTGTTGACATCATTACCGCCGCCACAACTGCTGTTTTTATTAGCAGCATTAACTGTTCTTGATAGATAAACTTCTTGGTCAATTTTATCGTTGTCATTCATTACTGGAAGAGAATCAATTATCAAAGTGGTCAAAGAGAATAAACAAATTTGAAAAAACTTTTGTAGCAAAGAAAAGGTACCTGCAGTCACGGATGGTACCAGTTTATTGGTCCCATAAATATTCTTACAAATACTGCTTCTAATACCTGTTATTACTGATGTTATTTGTGCCTTAGGAAAAAGGAACGAAACGATGACAGTTAAGGTGAATTTTGTCAACAAAGTTTCCAATACTAACCAGAAAAGATAGCTTTCAAAAGGTCCTTCACCATTGTTATCAAGTCTTCCTTAACTTTTAAAGATCCATTGCTTTTTATCGCTTTTTTCTCCCTTAGTATTTATCGTCGTCTTTTCCTGTTAAAATGCTAGTCATTTGCTATGAGATTTCATTACAGGAAATCCAAATCAAAATATGTGTGTAAGAAAATAAAGAACAAAAAAAGGGGAAAAAAGATGGAAATTTATTACTAAAAAAAGAAAAGTTTGAAAACAAAAAAATTTGCTAAAATTTTGTAACTGCATTTTGAGTGATCGTACAACAAATGTAGTAAAAAAATAATTTAGTAAAATTGTTTTTTCTTCTTTAAGATTCGGTAACTAATTAATACTTTAAAATGTCGAATTTCTGATGACTAAACCTGGTAAAATATAGGCCGTTAGCTGCCATGTATACAATAATAGATTATATAAATGTTTTGCAGTAAGTCCGGTAACAGTACAATCGTCTATTAAAGTTATAAGAAAAAAAATCAACAACAATAAAAAAATTTTTCCATTTTGCCTCGGATTTTATAGGACTGTTCAAAAGTACTCACTTGAAAAAAAAAAAACATATTTAGCATGAGTAACAATCGATTTGCATTATAACGTTCTCAGTCATAGGAATTCATCGCCGTTAACGACTGGATTTATTTGAAAAGTATGTTCGGTGAACCACTGAATCGCATTAAACAGATTTTATATACTTTTGGTTGGCTTTTTGTAGAATTGCTATTTCTTTTGATCATCAATAAATATCACTCAGTGATTCTACAATAGAGTGACATTCAAACGAATTGCAACTTCTATACGGATACCGTTCCATAACTACAAAACACCAATACAAACAGCCAACAAGCTACCATCTGTCCACTGTGGCCAATACTCAACTGACGAAGGCATCGTCATATTTGGTGACAGCCGACTGACAGTTTCAAACTCGGATAGCCGCGCACCGTTATAACTCTTAGGTGTTCAATAATAACAGCACTATACCGCCTGGATACCCTCTAATGCACTGTCGCTTCAGAGGAAACCTCCAGCTAGACTGAGGCTACCAACGCAGACCTTGGTAATGGATACAGTTTCCTGAAATCCTTTTTGATTCAACATTCATCAACTGTTTTCACCTTTTCTTTGACTCTTTTTTTACTTACGGTTTGATAGTATTCATTTTTAACGATAGTTGATGACTTTTTTGATTCGATGTTATTTGGTGTAGTGGGAAAGTTTTAATCTTTTCATCTTTTTCGACTTTTTCTAAACGTTGACCTGCAGTTTGACAGAGTTGATATACATGGATGGAAAGGTTTGAATTTGTTTTCGCCGGTTATCAGTACTCTAATTTCGTGGTTTAGTAATTTTGAAAAAAAAAAAAAAAAAAA